AAAAATGGAAATTTTAATGAAATATTGACATATATTTAAAATATTTAATGAACGAAATGAGATATTGATAAAATTCAAGTGTTTATGCATGGGGAAGGCGGATTAGTTAATTTTTTTGTATGATTTGGTTACCAATTTTTTTGTTTTGTTTATGTTTATCATCATTTAATAACTGTTTTCTTTTTTCTGTTCACATTATGACATATTCTTTTTATTAAAATATAGCTAATATTGAGTCCTTCAAATTTTATAACCATGATAACCGTTGTTTAATCTTTCAGTAGGTTAATGAAATCATTTAGCTCAATAATTTTTTTGAAGTTTGAGGGAAACAAATATTTTGTATTTGTACTTTTTAATATGATTTTCAGGTGTTTTTTAAGTTGTTAAAATGTTTTCCAATTTTTTAATTATTTAACAATTTCTCTATAATTATTTTTTAATTCAGATTTGCAATAATTACCTGGCGTTATTAAGTTTCATATATTTATTTCAGTATTATTTTCTATTTTTAATTTTAATTGTATATATTTTTATTCTTAAATTTTTTTGTTTTTTATGTAGTTTAAATCACCTACTGAAAAAAATTATTTTCTTCGAAAATGTAATTTTTTATCATTGTTGATTATAAAAGAAATAAAGTGGTTTTTTTTTTTTTAATAAAGTTTATTTTATTTAAAAATTAAATAATTGCCTCTATTTTATCTTTGACTTCCTCACTTTCCATATCAGGATTTAATCCGAACTATTCTTTCAACCTCTAAACTTTATATTAGAATTAAAATCATTCAAAACAATATTATATGGAACAGTAATTAAGTCAGTGAGAGATATCTTTTTTAATGTTATGTGAAAAATTTTCTTAATTTATAATGGTGTCTAATATTGTTGACTAGTTCAAATAGTAGTAGAAGTTGATTGGAGTTTGGTCTGAGATGAAATTGATATTATATACAATTAAGAAGTCTCATTTTATTGTTCCCAAGTTTTAGGCATACATCAGGGTACATTATCAAACTTTACTTAAGAAAAATAATGTAGTTTTGGAATATGTATCACATTATGAGATTTCATAAAATCATCTATTAAGGCTGCTGTGTGTATTTGGAAATTCACAATAGAAATTTTTACTTAGTGACAAATTTAATATAACTATTTATTGATATTATGGTGTCAACTCATATTTAAATGATATATATCTGATAAATGGCATTTGTCTTGAGATGCTAATGTATTTTACTTTCATGAAGGTCTGAAATTTGGTTTGAAACATTAGCACTTAGTAAAATAAGGTTTTATATTTATCTGTAATACAATTTCATCTCAATAAACTTCTACTAATGTCTAAATTTATATAATGTTCACATCCTAGTAATAATTAGAATAGATAAAAGAAAGAATAAGGTAGAATAAAGAATTATAACGTAAATGTGAAAGAATAAGAAATGATATGATAAAATAAAATAGGAACTCTAAAAAAATATTACATTTTATAGAAACAGAGTAAAAAATATCACTGACTTCATAATAGCAACAAATTGGTATATTGAACTTGTCACTTAGTGAACATTTGCAGTTTGAAAATAATTGTTTTATTAACCCATGTACATTAGGATTCTTTTTAATTCTATGTTTTATTTTATTACTTAGTATTAGTAGAAAGTGTTGATTATATACAATTTTTTCACGCTTATGTATTTGTCTTATGGTCCATTTAGTAATAATAAAATTAGTTTTTGATTGTTATTTATTGGACATTTTGGGGAATCTTTGTCCTCCTCTTCATCAATATTTTCCCCAAATTCCAAAGTTCAAATTAATGCTAAAATTTTCTTAAGAAACAAAATTTAATTGATTGGTTTTATAATAAGGATTGGGTAAACTAAATAATCACCACTGATTTAGGGGCCCACTGAAACATCAACATTTTTAACCTATACTAGCTGAATCCGAAGTTGGATATTAGCCATTGTACCAATCTTATTAAATTACTGTGGCTTAACCAATTTTTTGGGGGATGTAAAATATTGCTGAAAAGGGGGACAAATATACACCAAAACGTCCAATAAATAACAGATTAAGGCAAATATATAACTATGGAAAGATAATTAGAACAAAGGTCAAACTTGAAAAATGGAAATTTTCTAAATTATAGATAAAGACATTAGTAGAAATTAGTTGTGGGTGCAACCTGAGATGAAGTAGAATAACACAAATAAGGGGCCTTAAATTATTTAATGGTGAGATTTCATTCAAAGTTTAGAACATTCATCAGTGAGAAATGCATCAGGATCAAAAGGCAAATGCCATTTATCAGAAACTTGATGATAAAATAAAATAGAATTTCTATAAAATGTCAAATTTTAGATTATATTAAAGACAGTAGAAAATATGAATTAACGCCATAATATCATGTTTGACCGAGAAGTAACATAATTAAACGTACCAAAATTGCCACAGATTAGTTGAAATTCTCGATTTTGAAATTTAAAATACTAAGTGTCATGATTTTGTGACATCTCATAATGAAATCCATATTCCGAAACATCTTAACCTTATTATTTTTCTTAAGTGAAGTTTTGAGTGAATCTTGAAGTTTGGTGTTACCGTATCAATAAATAATAAATGTATTGAAGTTCAAATTCATTCTAAACTTTTCTTAAGAAACAAAATTTAATTGATTGGTTTTGTAAGAAGGATCGGGTAAACCAAGTAATAACTTTTTATTTGGGTACCAACTGAAACAGCAACAGTTAGAACCTATTCATGGGTTACCTGCTACGTTGGTGACATCAAAAATAGTCGAACCCATCGAATAAGTGGAATAGTTGGAAAATGAGCTCCAGTTCATGCTCTAGTACATGTACCAGATATGCACAGTAAATCGGCCCTCAACCACTGGATGTACTGGTTCACGACTGCTTGTTAGAGACCCAATGTAATATTTTAATGATAATATATTATAAAATAACAGGTGTTAGTTTTTATAATTAATTAAAATGAATTAAGTTGTTATATCCATTAAATTATTATTATGTTTTTTTATAATTAATATGATGTTAGATGTAATTTTGATTTTAATTTATATAAATTTTTTTTTTTAATAAATGACCCTTGTCTATTCGACTATGTGAAATAAACGAAAATAATTGCAAATTGTTTTTCATAAAAATAATTGTGATAATTAGGAAGCAGGTAATTGTTATTGATTATATTTTGAAAGATTAATAGAAATTTATGTAAAAAGTTGTATGCTAGGCAAAATGTATGTTAGAACATTTTTCAAATATGATGAAGATGGCCAAAGTCCGAAACTTTCATGTAAGTTAAAATTACATAATAATAAAGTAGAATTGTTGGATCAAAGATCTAAAGAGCTTTTTTATCTATTAACATAACTTATTGGTGTTCCATCCACTCTGTATACAAAAACACTTTGGATTGTTTCATACCAGGTTTTAAAACCCAGTATGTTTTTGTTTCTCAGGATTTAGTTTCTTTCTTGATTAAACTAATAGATATGTTGCGGTAAGGTTCTGTTCTAGCTATCATATTTTCTGTGCTTTTCCTTTCTATAGCATTAGCTATCTCATTGTGTTATTTATTCTTTCGACCGGGTATGGCACGCCGGGCTTCTTTCCAAGCTGAAAAACTATCTTCCTCAGTCCTTGTACCTTGTTCTCCGTTCTTACCTCTCAGATCGTACCTTCCGAGTTCGTTGCGGTACTGAATTTTCGCATTGCTATCCAATTGAGGCAGGTGTTCCTCAAGGTAGCGTATTGGGTCCCGTCCTTTACATCCTCTTTACCGCCGATATCCCTGTCCATCCCGAAACCTTCCTGGCAACTTTTGCTGATGACACCGCCATTCTATCATCCGACTCAGATCCCAACATAGCATCCTTAAATCTCCAAAACCACCTCACCTTGATTGAGCACTGGTGTAATAACTGGCACATTAAAGTTAATGAATCTAAATGCCAACATATTACCTTTACACTCCGACGCAGTTCCTGTCCACCAGTACACTTTAATTCCATCCAGCTTCCTTACTCAGACACAGTCCGGTATCTTGGCTTTCATTTAGACCGAAGACTAACGTGGAACCCACATACTAGACTCAAAAGACAAGAACTCAACCGACGATACGGCCAGCTATACAGACTACTAAACAGAAAATCCAAACTTTCTATTGAAAACAAATTACTTATCTACAAGACAATACTGAAACCTATATGGACATACGGACTTGAACTGTGGGGGACAGCAAAAGCTTCTAACATCAAACGTATTCAATCCTTTCAATCTAAAGTCCTTCGAACAATAGTTGATGCTCCGTTCTATGTAAATAACAAAATCCTACACCATGACCTTAATATCCCATTTGTCCTAGACCATATTCCAGAAAAATTCTCCAAATTTCACCAGAACCTTACCTATCATCCAAACCCCCTTGCACAATCTCTATCCAGCACCACCCATCCTTACAATCCTCCTCGAAGGTTGAAGCGGCAGTGGCCCAGAGACCTTTTGTAAATAAGCATCTATTGGAGTTTTGGCAATGGCCAGATCCTCCACTCAAGCCCGAGTGTGTATGATTAGCTTAGTTCTTTTGTTTATATACATTTATTTTATTTTATTGTATTTATTTTTATTTTATTTTATTGTATTTATTATTATTAAGTTTCTGTATTATTTATTTTTTTTTATTGTAAATAGAGTGTGATTGTGCTTTCTCTGAACACTATTATAAATGTCCTTGATGTGACAGAATGTAATATTTCTAAATAAACAAATATAAAAAAAAAATTTATTCTTTAAAGAATTTTATTAAAAAATATAGCATATAATTTAGAAATATTATGTTTATTGATGTGCAAAAACATAGAAAACAGTATTTATTGCTTTCTTTAATTCTGGATTGATAAAAAAACGTGAAGGTTTTAATTAAGTGTTTTTAATGTATCAATTTTATTTGATGACATTGTTTTCTTTTTTCAGGGAACATTAAACATGCTATTTGAAAAAAAATTGTTTTTATCTCAGAGTAATAATTTTCCTACACATTTCAACCGATACCTAAAAAAAAAGTTATCAGATATTGAAAATTTTAAAGATAGTGATGTGCCAGTCTTACGTTTTTGGTCTCAAATTGTCTCTTCTCACGTTTTTGTCACCAAATGTTTTGGTATGACAGATAAAAAACTTCATAAAAATGTTTTGGAGACCTCAAAAAAGGTATTTACAGAAATATATAATTTATATAAAGTTTATAGTATTATATTAATTAATAATATATTATTATATGTTCAATGTTGAAATTCTTTTACTTTAGAATGTTCTTTATTTGACACAAATGATGTCAAAGCTTGGTATCCACTGAAATTCGTACTTGTTGAAAGTTATTAGGTTATAAATTATTTCAAAAGTTACATGGAATGTAATTTTATTTCTATGAACTACTTTTAGTAGTTTACATTAGGAGGCCGAGTTAGTGAAAATAACTATATTGAATTTTGAACATGAGCGGCAATAGTAATAAGAGGATTTAAGGATAAATAAAAATTCAGCCCTGAGAATAATATATTTGGTGGGTATGGAGATTGGAATTGAGAAATCTTTTGCTGGATTGCTCTCGTACTTTGGATTGGCGGATTTTAAAACATTTGTGTATATCTTTATGTAGTCTGGGTAATCAACAGCTATTATGTTAAGAGCTATTAGCTTAGGATTCCTTGAAATTGCAGAATTTTAATGGCTAATGGTGTGTCAAGGTCTAGGGGATATTTTGGTATGTATGTAGTATACCCAATTATTTCCAACTGGGAAAAATAATTAAATTATTTCTAACTAGGGGATATGTGTGTCTTCAAATCATAACTTTTTTTCAAGGGGTATTGTTTGTTTTAAAAGAATATATTTCTTTGTATGGATGTGGCTAAATTGGAGCCATAATTCATTTGATCGGATATCACATTGTCTTTGTACAATTCTGATAAAAAAAAACAGTTAAATAAAATGGAACAATCATGGTGGTAATATTTTAGTATCATTTGCTTTTGAATTTTATATGATAAAGAAAGTAAATAAAAAATGTCAAGTTCGTAATTTTATAATGGTTCATAATTTTATAATAAAAACAGATGGTTTCAGTTTAACTATTTATACAGTGATGTGTGAAAAAGTCTTCAAACAAAACAAATTTTTATATAAGTGATAAATGTTTCAATTTAAAAGTGTTTTTATCTTCTTGATTGTGAACTGATTTCACCTTTTAGACATTTTAAATATAAAGAGAAGCACATAAAATTGTACAGCTGCACAACTGTGTTGAGTTCAGAGTTGGGCAAAATTTATCTGCAGCTAACAGCTAAATTAGCTATCCTTATAGCTAATAGCTAAATAGCTTTATCTAACTTTTCGGATTTAATCAATATTTTGGTCCACATTAATGTTGTCCGGGGGTGCTTCTTTTGAAAATACTGTTGAATGTCTGATTGTGCAACCGCGCATCACGTTTTATCAACTTTTTGGGTTTAATCGATATTACAGTCCACTATATTGTTGTCGGGGGCGCTTTTTTAATATTGATTAAAATCTAAAAGTTAAAAAAATAATGTGATGTGCAATATAAAACTCGACAGAATTTTCATTAAAAGCGCCCCCTCCCCCCACAACATTATAGAAAAGTTAGGAATACGTGATGCAATTTTCTTTATCATATAAAATTCAAAAGCAAATGATACTAAAATATTACCACCATGATTGTTCCATTTTATTTAACTGTTTTTTTTATCAGAATTGTACAAAGACAATGTGATATCCGATCAGATGAATTATGGCTCCAATTTAGCCACATCCATACAAAGAAATATATTCTTTTAAAACAAACAATACCCCTTGAAAAAAAGTTATAATTTGAAGACACACATATCCCCCAGTTAGAAATAATTTAATTATTTTCCCCAGTCGGAAATAATTGGGTATACTACATACATACCAAAATGTCCCTAGACCTTGACACACCATTAGCCATTAAAATTCTGCAATTTCAAGGAATCCTAAGCTAATAGCTCTTAACATAATAGCTGTTGATTACCCAGACTACATAAAGATATACACAAATGTTTTAAAATCCGCCAATCCAAACTACGAGAGCTTGCGTCAGATGACGCATCACGTATTCCTAACTTTTCGGATTAATTGATATTTTAGGGTCTATAATGTTGCGGAAAGGGGGAGGGCGCTTTTAATGAAAAATCTATTGAGTTTCATATTGCGCATTTGTGCATCACATTTTTTTTTAACTTTTAGATTTTAATCAATATTAAAAAAGCGCCCCTGACAACATTATAGTAGCCTCTAATATCAACTTAATCCGAAAAGTTACAAAAACTTAATGCGCAATGGTGGAATCCCAAATCCGACATTATTTTCATAAAATGCGTCCCCGACAACACTAGTCGATCCAAATATCGATGAGATCAGAAAATTTAAAAAAACGTGATACATAATTGCAGAATCTGAAATCCAACATTATTTTCATAAATAGCGCTCCCGACAACATTATAGTCGCCCCTAATATCAATTAATTCTATAAAATTAGAGAAACCTAATCCACAATCAGAAATCCGATATTATTTTCATAAAAAGCGCCCTTGACAACATTATAGTCGACCCTAAGATCAATTAAATCCGAAAAGTTAGAAAAATATGATGTGCAATTGCTCATTCTGAAATTCGACAGAATTTTCATAAAAAGTGCTCCTGACTACATTTAGTCGACCCATATATCCATTAAATCCGAAAATTCAAAAGAAACATACTCGATTGCACAACATTGAAACCGACATTTTCATAAAAAATGCCCCTAACAACATTATAGTTGACTCTAATATCAATTTTTTTTTTTTTTTTTTTATGAACAATTTTTATTGAGAAAAAAATACATTTTGGCTCAATCAAGGGCATTGAGTATTTATGATGAATGAAGTACAATCATACCATATATACAATAAAAGAACAACAAGATTATAAGAAAATAAAATAAAACTTGGAGTAACAGAATAAATCAAACATGATACAACATTAGATAAAAACTAAAATAAAAAAAAATAAAAAATAATAATAATAAATAAAAACACATTCAAACTTATTTACAGTCAGCCGAGGGAGCTCCGAGTCGGGCCTTTTCCCCCACGTGTGGAGGACAAGGCAAGACTCCAAGAGATCCCAGCGCTTCTCTCTCAGCCGCATCACTAGGATGGGAATCCAGTGGAGACTGAGAGAGGGCACTAAAGCCACATACGCTCATGACTTGAGTGGAGAAGCTGGCTGGCCATTGCCAGGACTCCAATGACGTTGTTACAAAAGATCTCGAGGCCACTGCCGCTTCAACCTTCGAGGAGGATTGTAGGGATGACTGGAACTAGATAAGGATTGTGCTAAGGGATTAGGATGATAGGTTAGGTTCTGATGAAAATTTGAAAATCGGGATGGAATAACGTCAAGGACATAAGGGATGTTAAGGTCATGATGTAAGGTTTTGTTCGTAACATAATAAGGAGCATTGACTATTATACGGAGGATTTTAGACTGGAAGGATTGGATGCGTTTGATGTTCGATAATTTAGTTGTCCCCCACAGTTCAAGTCCGTAGGTCCAGATGGGTTTCAGTATGGTCTTGTATATTAATAGTTTGTTTTCAATTGAGAGGTTAGATTTTCTGTTAAGTAGTCTGTATAACTGGCCAAGTCGTCGGTTAAGCTCTTGTCTTTTAAGTCTGGTATGTGGGTTCCATGTTAGTCTTTTGTCTAAAAGGAATCCAAGATACCGAACTGTGTCTGAGATGGGAAGAGGTACTGAGTTGAAAAGGATATGTGGACAGGATCTGCGTCGGAGGGTAAAGGTGACATGCTTGCATTTGGATTCATTGATCTTGATACGCCAATTGTTGCACCATTGCTCTATTAGGGAGATGTGTCTTTGAAGGTTTAGGGATGCTGTTTCAGGGTCTGGGTGGGAAGATAGGATGGCGGTATCGTCAGCAAATGTTGCTAGAAGGGTATTAGGATGGGTTGGAATGTCAGCTGTGAAAAGGATGTAGAGAACTGGGCCCAAGACACTGCCTTGTGGAACACCAGCCTCAACTGGATAATAATTGGAGAATTCAGTGCCGCAGCGGACTTGAAAGGAACGATTTGAGAGGTAGGATTTGAGGACTAGATACAAGGATTGGGGTAAGTGAGTTTTGAGCTTGAAAAGCAAGCCATCATGCCACACCCGGTCGAAAGCTTGCGCTACGTCCAGAAAGGCACTAGTGCAATATTGCTTGTTTTCAAGCGCAGAGGATATATGGTCAACAACGCGGAGGCCTTGTTGAACAGTGGAATGTCTTGAGCGGAAACCAAACTGATGGGAGGGATATTGTGGGTTTCGAGAATGGGTAGGATACGTTTGAGAAGGATTTTTTCAAAGATTTTCGAGAGGATCGGAAGTAAGCTTATTGGTCTATAGGATGAGGTATTATTAACAGGTTTACCTGGTTTAGGGAAGAGGATAATAATGGAGTGTTTCCATATGAGAGGAAAGTGAGTTGTGCGGAGGGTACAGTTATACAGGTATGTGAGGAACATGATTGCTTTTTTGGGAAGTTGTCTAAGGATCTGGGAAGTAAGGAGATCGTGTCCAGGGGATTTTCGAGGTTTCAAGTTGTTTATATGGAATTTGACCTCAGAGGGGTTGACAGCTTTAGGAGGCAAGGAGAGAGGAATCGGAGAAGAGAGGAGTTCTTTAACTTCAGCAGTGTGGGTGGGATGGAGTTCGGTGTGGGGAGTGAATGTTTTGGATAGATGTTTGGCAAATTCTTCAGCTCTAGTCTCATCTGACGAAGCCCAGGTTCCATCATCTCGTCGGAGTGGGTGGGAAATAGATTGGTATTTAAGGATTTTTTTGGTCACTTTCCAGAGGGAGTTGTCATCGGTAGAGAGGGAAGAAAGGTAGGAATTGTAGGATTGGGATCTAAAGGTCGTCAGTTCTTTTTTAACCTGTTTGGAATAGTAATTATATAATTTCCGATCTTCAGGATGCCTGGTTCTTTGCCAGAGGGTCCTAGATTGGCGTTTGGATTTAATAAGGTCAGTAAGGTTTTGGGGCAAGGGATTCTTTTTGAGGGGTTTTTTGGAGGGGAGTGGTGAGGATGCAGTCCAGACTGCTTGTTGGATCAAGGTGGTGAAGGA